TAAGATGTGTGGACTTCCATTCCCAGAATTCCCCCAGCCAGTGGTCCAAAAGTACATACAAATTCCAGGTGTTTAATTTTTGGCATGCAAAGTCTTTCCCATGCAACAATAGGAAATCAACAACCGCATTGTGATATCCCAAATATGTGATATTGAGGCAATAAGATTATACCATATGTATAACCATGAACTGGTGTCTCATTGGTGGCAGCTAGATGAGTGGTTGATGGTTATTATAGTGAATTCTCAACCCCACAGATAAACATGCAGAATACTGATTGCCCGTTTTAGTGCATAGACTTTTTCAGTGGTGCCTATATTTTCGTTCTCTTGGAAAGAGCTTCTTTGAAAGGTGGCTCACAACATCCCTTCATTACTTTGGATAAGCACTGCACCTAAGTCTATGTTAGAAGTGTCTATTTGTTGGACAAAGGTTTAGGGAAAATCCAACCCTTTCAATACTGCTTTCCCACACACAGCTCGTTAATTAAATGTCTCCTGGCATTCTTTGGTCCGCTTTACCCTTGAGAGTGTTTCTTTTTAGGTCCACAAGGGGTTGAGCCACAACAGAAAAGTGAGGTATGAACTTTTAATACCCCACTACTCTTTACTGTGTAGGGACCCTACCACTTAGCCTGTAATTTGCTTTCTTTACTAAGCAATAATAATAGTATTTGATCTTCTGCATTAAACTTCTTTGGCTTTAAACCCTTACCATGGTGTCCCTTCTGTCTTTCCTTGTCTGTTTCTAAATGTTTCTGGACAATGTGTCCTAGGGCTTTTAACTTATTCCTTTGCTTTAATATATATTCTATTAAATTCTAAAGGCTTTCCAAGTTTTCATCCCAGCCTTAATGTCTAAAACTCAAGATTGTCTCCCATAAAGTAACTCAAAGAAGCTAAATCCCATGGATGTCTGAGGAATTTCCTATCCTATAAAGGTTTTTGAACAGCTCCTCAGCTGTTTTTTGGCTATCACATTCCTTAACAAAACTGTTTCATGATACATAATTGCATAATCACAGATAACTAGGATATATTCATTGCCTTTACTGGACAGTGGCAGAGGGCCTACAATGTCCGTGACTATTTTTTAAAAAAGAAATTGGGATTAAAGACCCTCTTTCCACTAGAAATTTATTATCTTCCTCTTAACAAACCGGGTAGGATCTACAGTAATGGGTCACATTTTTACAAATACCTGGCCAATAAAATCTACCTAATATTTTTAACGTGCCCTATCTCTATTCATGTCCAAACCATGGATCTTCATGGGCTAGTTCCAATATAGCCATGCAATGTTCCTGAGGAACTACGATTTGTCTCCCACTTGAATTCTTTTATCTGGTCCAACCACCAGTAAGTGGAAAATTTGTTCATTAATATAGGTTATATGTTAAGTTAGGGATTATACCTACTACCATTATCTGTTCATTTCAGTGTCCCTATACTCTAGCTTTACCAATGAGACCATCTTAGATTGCCCAAACATATTGATAAGAGACCCTTTTCCCATAGATGCTGTCTTTTTTTACTAAGTGAGGGCATACTAACATCCCTCTACTCCAAGTATCTACTAGGCCAGAGATTCCCAACCTCTTGGGCATCAGGGACTGGTTCCATGGAGAGGTTTTTCCACGGACCGGAGGATGCATGGTTTTGTGTGTTGCCTGCATTCCACAGATGGGGCTTTGCTTGTTTGTGCGGACTGGTTGCTGGCCTGCCGTGGCTTGGTACTGGTCCATGGAACCGGGGGTTGTGGACCCCTGTACTAGACCTCTAATTAAACCCATTAACTTTTGCTTGAATCATATTTTCCCCCAGAGGTGCTTACATTTTTTTTCTGTCTTTTATAATGTTTTGACAAATGTCCACTTTTTCTGCAGTTGTAACAACTATGGGTCTCTCTAGTTTCCCAATGCCTTCCTTTAATTTGGATACACATTTTCCTTAACCTTTCCAGCTCTTTATGGTTCCTATTTTCTAGAACAGAAATATTCTATCTCCTTTTGTATCTTTCCAATATTCTCCAATCTTTTTTGCCAGGTAATCTTCAGCCTATAGCTGTTTGACCCATTTCTAGGTTGCATCTTATTTTGGTAGGCAATATTTATAAAATTGTTCTAAAATTGCCTTTTCTTTGCTTCTTTCATCTGGCCTCAATTATTTTCTATCAGTTTTGCCTACAATTCACAAATCCCTTTATGTGTGTCGTATGTGGCTTCTAAACCTCTGCCTATAAGTTTAAGAAGTTGCATCATACCTGAATAAAGATAACTCTTTAATATTGTAATAATAAACTACTTTCCTAGCTAGAAGACTACTGTAAGTCCTTAGAGCTTTTTCTGTTAAACTCAGGGCTAATCTAGTTACATTCTCAAACCATTTACAAGAGGTAACAACAATTTCAAATATAGTAAAATAAGCATCTTCTTCTTAGGGATCTTTGTATCTTTATACCTCTCCCACTATAAGGTTTAAAACGATAGAGCTGAATGTGTTCCTTCTGGTGACCGAACCCCTTTGAGTAAGTCTCTCAGCCCCCTAAACTCTTCTCTTCTTGTTTCTCTTTCACTCTTTTCTCATTCTAGCCTATCTTCTTCTCTGTTTCCCTCCAAAGCCACTCTTACTCTTTTTTAACTAAATCCTTTCCTTTTGCTGTTGCTTCAGCATTTCTGTAATTGGCCTAAGTAGCCTAGCCCCTTTTCTGCCTGGTCTTTCTTCTTCTTTGGCTTAACTACAGTCATAGAGTGGATACCTATCTCTACCGAAGTAGTAGTCTCTTCTATATCCAAGGAGAATCTGCTTCTTCTGCCTTTTCTAGTCCTGTTTGGGGGCAGGTTCTAGTGAGAGTCTGATTTCTTCAGCCAGGATGTTGGCTATTATCAGCAAAGTCCGAGCTCTACAAAGGCCAAACTTCCTTTTGTAACTAAGGTTTGTTTTCTTTTCATATTTAATTCGTCTCTGAGCCTATCCCGCCTATTTGGATGCCACCTGTGTAGTTATTTCTACTTGTTTTGGATATCCCATCTTTTTATGGATATCCCACTACTACCACTTTATCACAATTCTTTTAACTATACTCAGATTGATGGGCTCAAAAGACACAAAAGAGTCCACAACCATCCAGGTCCCTCGAGAACACACACAAGCACTTGCATATTCACATACAATTACTCACTGTTCTCCACAGCTACACATACTGTTCCTACTACTATTCCTTGTGAGTACTCCTAGCAAAACATATCCCCTTCTAGCTGCTTCTAAGCTGCTTTACTTTCACCCACAAAGACACACCTCCTTCTCCTCCTCTTTCCCAGCTGTTTCACAGCCAAACTTTTATAGGCAACTTTGCCGCCCTGATGCAAGTGCGAGGGCTTAGGAGGAAGCAATTAGCACAGATGCCGGCAATCTTCAGGACGATCTGCTCTCTTTCTCTCTTATGCGAGTGCGCACACACAAACACTCTTACAAAAGTGACCTTTGATTAACAATGTATAATGCTGATTTACCAGGGGCACATTCCAGGTAAAAATATGCTAAGAAAAAATACATAATCCTAGAATTATTGTATGTTGTAAGTCATTAAAAGTAAAGCATCATGTTAGGCTGCAATTCTATACACAATTACCTAGAAATAAGGCCCATCAAGTCCAGTGGAGCTTACTTCTGAGTAAACATGCATAGGGTTGTGTTATTAATGGGAAAAATCTAGGAATCTTAACTGACCTAATGATTTTTTGATTATTATTAATTTGTCACCCATCTTGTGGTTCAAGGCAACTCTGGGTGGTTTATAGTGAGATAAAATATAAAAATATCAAGACAAATATAAAAATGGATTAAAATTACTAAAAATTAACACACACACACAAAAACAAGTTTAAAGAAGAGAGGTGGGACTGCCTTCTCTGTTAGTGCACCAACCATCTCCAGCCAACTTTTCCTTCAGGACCCCATGCCAGCCAGCACAGCCAAGTTTTAAGGCTTTTCCTTATGGCTAAATGGGAGGGGACAGATCTCTTCTATGGAAAGATATTCCAAAGGATGGATCGTGGCAGAAAAGGCTTTTCTCCTGTATCCCATCTGCTGAAATTCCTTAACTCGTGGGGTTTGCAATAGGTCTCTTCTGCCAGCATGAGCGGAGTGGTCCAGTTCCATTGGGGAAAGACAATTGTACAGATATCCTGGAGTCATGCTAAAAAGGGTAAAGATAATAACACCTTGTGTTGTACCGAGGTGGACCAGCAGCCAGTGCAGTTCACGTAAAAGTGGTGTCACATGTGCCATCCTTGGGGCCTCCAAACTATATATGCCACTGCATTTTGGACCAATTGTAACTACTGAATACTCTTCAAGGGTAGCTCTATGTAGGCCACATTGCAATAATCCAAGTAAGAGATGACCAGGGCATGAGTGACTGAGCACATGGCCTCATGTTCCAGGAAAGGGCGCAGTTGGCACACATGAAATTGTGCAAAGGCTCTCCTTTTGTCCAGAATGGTTTGCAAGATGCTTCTAGAAGTGTCACATGCAGATGAAGAGTAAATGATTATTACTGATATTCCTCAATAATCAGTGCCATTTTCTGAATCTGAATTTTAGATCATGATTTGTGGGCAGAAACAGTTTTATACTACAAATAATTTAAGTTACTTCTAGTGTTTTTTACTACATTCAATAGTAGTAGATCCCAGTGGTCAGCAATGCATTATATAATGTAGAAATGTATCTTCTCTGTCCTGTTCAAAAGTTCCAGATTGGACCATTGTTCTCTCCTAGATACAAGAAGTAGCTAATGCTCACACTGAGATTCAACTGACTCTAGCTATTTTCGGAAACAAAAATAGAACAGACTATAAAACACAAGTATAGAAAATAGAGACTAAATGTTGCAATATTACTGCTCCCAAAGGTGTGTGGAGTTATTCAAGAATAATATCTAAGAAACACAGTAACAAAAGTACATGGTTCACAAATGGGACCAGCCACAAATAAACTGCGTTATGGAGTGCTTTATTTAGGATGCTAAGCAACTGGGTCTTCTCTTTGTAAATACTACTAGTTTGCCACAGACTATTAGATTGTACAATGAAATAAGCATTCTGAGAGAGCTGCATCATAAAATGTTCTGTAATTTCAGAGTGTATGCTTTTTTTTTTCAACCTTGGAGACTTTTAGGCTTGAAGATATTGTTTTATTGTACATGGATGGAGGCATACTGAGAGCAAGTTAATTGTAGTAAGACGACAGATAAAGGGCTACATAAATGATCCTGCTTATGGAAATAACTTTTAAAAATAAACATATTTAAAGACTGTTCACAAAGTAGTGCAAATAAGAAGTGTTCACACCTCTAGGATAATCAGAAACCTTTTATGTGTGTATTTCCTTCATTTTCCCGAACATCAGAGAGATGATGGGTAAAATGCAGCCTCATTTATGGAAATATCCATCTAATAGAAGTTCATTAAATATACCAAAATATAAAATATACATACACCAGCTGCTCTGCATGGAATTAATCATAAACAAACACATTATACAACCAGTTGAAAATATCAACTTGAACATAATTTACTGCAACATCTTTTCAAACTTGCAAATCAGCAACGGGATATCCTGAGATCGTATTTCTCCATTGTTTGGTGGTCTGGTCTGCCCTGAATCAAGTATGCCATGCAGTTATCATTTTCAGTACCAGCTGCTTGATTGTAATGCAAAACACACGTGTGGTAAGGATCACATTAAAAGGGAAGGAAAGATTCTCCATTATGCCTTTTCTAAAAGGAGAGGTCTCTTTATTAGTCTTTTGCTGATCTGAAAGGCAGAATTAGATGATAAACTTAATTTAAATTATAGGATAGAAAAAAAATCACTTAACCATGGTTGGATAGTTAGAATGGTTTGATAATGGACTCAAATGATTTTGAAGGGGATGGTTAGGATCTACCAGATGTTGGACAAGCAAATTTGGACATTGTTGTAGTTTTGGATTCCAATAAGAAGCCCTTCCAATACTTCACAGATTTAAAAGGATTAATTTCCTCCTGAATAATTGTACCATGTTTCCCTGAAAATAAGAGCTATCCTGAAAATATGCCTTAGCTTGATTTTTACACATGGGCCTAATATAAGCCCTACCCCAAAATAAGTTTTGGGGCAAGGGGCACGTGTAAAAATCAATCTGGGGGGTGGGGGAATGGAGCTGCCCCACGCGCCGCACACCCACTTACCTTAGGATTGCTGCAGCCGGGTCTCCCATACCCCAACACTTGTTGCGCTGCTGCCTGAGTTCTACAGCTACTTGCAACCACATGCCATGTGGCACATCGCGCTACTGCTGCTGGTCGCAGGAGGCAGCAAAGCTTGTTGTGCCAATTGTGCTGCTGCCACTGCTCACAACAGGAGGCCACGCAGCTTGTGCTGATGCTTGTGGCAGGAGCCCGTGAGGCTCCTTGCACTGATCGCACCCACTTGCAAATGGCGCTATGAGCCTTGTGGCCTCCTGCCAGTTGGTGGCAGTGGCGCGATCGATGTGATGAGACTTGCAGCCTCCAGCTGAGACAGCAGCAGTGGCGTGATGAGCCTTGCGGCCTCCAGCCATGAGCAGCAGCAGCAGCGAGATTGGGGCAATGAACCATGTGGTCTCCTACTGTGACCAGCAGTAGCAATGCAATGCACTACATGGCGTGTGGCCGCAAGTAACCACAGAAGAACTCAGGCAGTAGCGCGACAAGTGTCACGGCATGGTAGACCTGGCTCTGGCAATCCTAAAGTAAGACATCTCCCGAAGATAAAACAAGCTCCTCTTATTTTTGGGGAAACACGTCATGCTGCTCTATGAACATGGGTTATTATTAATCATATAGTAATTATTGTGAGGATCCATGCTCACAAAAAGCAGGAAAACATTCCAGCTCAATTCCAGAAAGCAGCAGAATATTTGGGAAGAGGATGCTCAACCCTTCCAAGAAGCTCTTCCCTGGTGCTAACTCATAATGAACCAGTCATCTTTAGAAAAACTGACAGCTTGTCAGAATAGTCATTTTTGCTCTAGGAAGAATTTAGCAGTTAGAAAAAAAGTAACACAGCACGTTGTCTTGATTTCTTTGGACTACAGAACTGAATAAGGACATGTGCCTTCAACAGGGACATTTCTAATTGCCTCAAAATATGGTGAACTTTGACATACATGAAACAATAGTTTCTACCTCATTTTGTGAATCAGCTATTTTATGCTGGTCTTTGATAGGACTTTGACCTCAAGTTGCTACCAAATTAAGGCAAGACAAGGCACTTAGAATTGGAGGAAGTTGCCTTATACAAAATCAAATTATCAAACTATCTAATTCAGTTTTCTATTGATTTTACTGGAGTACTTTTTCTACCCCTTCGTAGGAATGCTGGAGATTGAACCTGAGATCTTCTGTGATCGTGGATTGAATTTTCATGTTAAAATTTTATGATCTTGTGGGTCCATATTACTAAATGTCCAAGGCCACATGTGACCCGTGGGCCGTGGGTTGGACATAGCTGCTCTTCATTTTGAAGGAAATACAGCATTTCTTTCAATGGGAAGGTCTAAGGAGAAAGAACAAATATTTCTAGCTACTCTGTGTGAGATTGTGTTCCTGGAGAGGCCAGTATTAGAATCACTTTTGGAAGCAGGGTAATTACTATCCATGGGAAGCTGGCATACTTTACAAAATTCAGCCCATACCACAGAGCCACTCCTTGTGGCTGGGCAATACTACTTAGGAAATACAGGACAACAAGAGCCAGGATGGCACACCATCCCCTCTGAAGCCAACCAAGTCTCTCCAGCTTCAGTTGAGTATAGGATGAAGAGTGAAAGGTCAATCCCAATCCAAGGACGGTGGCTACATCACGACACAGGGAAGCAAATGGGTATGTGTCCATATGGATCCACTTGGGATTTTCACACCACTTCATAGCAAGTTTCATTGACCTAAAGACAGTAAAATGAAGAGAGGCATATGAAACTTACCTATAGCCATATCTACAGGAGGAAAAAGTTGAAATCTGAGTAGTTCTAGAATCTCTCTGAATCTCTAAAACTACAAAATGTGGTATCCATGGGTAAACTGTTTTTTTCTTTTTTAGAAGTGAATTCCTACAAATGTTTAAGTCAACATTCTTTTATTATTTGAATATGCCTGGTATTTGCTGGAAGATCTTTGAAGATGTCAGAATTAAAGAAGATCTTTAAATCTTTAAAAGACCAGTTAAATAATGGCAAAACTCACCCCCTGTTTATGTGGATGGATGGCTTCTTTTCCTCCAACTCAAACCAAGAAAAGTGCTAAAAAGTTCATGGTGAACATGTGCGTGAAACAGGCAACAAAACAGAGAGTTTGTTTCCTTCATGTATTTATAGCATAATTAAAACAGCATTGCAATATCACTTTCACTTGATGTCTTCGTAGTGTTGCCCTCATCTCATATTTAGGGCATGATTTAAGCCATGATTTTATCTTACCCTTTTCTGTGTGCACGAGACTAGCAAATACAGAAAACAGCCAAGATGACTGGCAAACAGCATCCTAGTGTTGCAGGTACATATGCTAGGTTCCATTAAAGAGTGCTAGTTAAGAAAGCCTGTTAGATATTTAGATACCCTGTGAAAAAGATGACCATGTGCATTCCTTTGCACTGAAGGAACTCACCAGTTGAGATCTATGCCAAGAGTAATCAATGTCCAATAAATCACTGTGGCACTTAGCCAAAGGGAGAATGAAGTCATCAGGTAGAAACGGAATCCTCTTTCCAGTGGGACCCAGAATTGAAGTAGCCAACCTAGACTGATCCCTGAAGAGAGATGGTAGAAAAGGGAAGCTTCAGTGTAAACTGCCAATCTATTGCCTTAATCTTTGGATGTTCTAAAGCAGAGGTCAGCAGCCTATGGGAAGCCAGGTCAGCAATTCAGCATTCGGTGATATGGTAATTATCACCAGAAGCAGTAGAACTGTATTTTTAATTTTGTTGTCGCCTTTCTTGTTTGGATTTTGGGAGGATTTTAAGGTCAAAACCTGGAAGTCCCTGCCAAATAACTACACAGAGAAGCAGGATGAGCCTGTTGGATGATCATGCTTCCACATGAAAGTCCCTTCTTGGTTATTCCAAACATCTTTTAATATATTATCTCTCAAACTAATATAAGCTGAGATAGAGAATCATATTATAATAATTTTATATCTGTTATGATAAATCAATGGTGCATGAGAAATATTAAATGATCTATTATAAATCATTCAAAGATTTAACTAAGAGATCCAGATGTGGCCACTCTTAATTTAGGGGATACGTAATTTCTTTACCAAGTTCATAATCTCATAAACTGTTCTTTAGCCAAGTATGTGCTATAATCCTGTGAACATATAATTAGAAATAAGTATGCTTTTAGGCAAAAGGACAATTTTTTAAGAAGAAGCTGGCAATATTTCTAATCTGATAATTTTCTGGCACTCTTTGATCTGTAGTTATTTAAGATCAGTTAGAGCTGAAGGGTGCAGAAGAAATGGATATGGCATTCTGATCCAATAATCTAATCAGCTGTGGATTTGATATCTGTCCCACTAATGAAAGGTTGCCAGGAAGGACAATAGTGGTGAAGGGTTATTTGCCTCTTGCCTTGAATGCAGCAGAGCTAATGTCTCATTCTCAATAAGTCATTGTTTAATTTCGTTATTTTAGATAACTATCACCCAGTCTCCAACCATCCTTTTGGGGGCAATGTTATAGAAAAAGTAATTGGCTGCAGTTACAGAGAATACTGGAGAAAAAGGATTTTATGGATCAGTCAGGATTCAGGCTTAGATACAGGAGAGAAACTATATTGATGGTCCTACCAGATTACCGATGGAAAGTGGTTTTGATAGAAATATTCTCAACGAGACATGCTTTTATCAGTCTTGAAAGCAAATATTCAAAGGAGTGTTTAAAAATTGGGCTGATATCTCTTAGTTCAGCACATGTTTTTGCCATATACGTGGAAACCAAGAACCTAGAACATGCACAAATAACGTACTGCTAACTTTCATGATGTACTTACCTGCCAAAATGCCACCAATAACTTGATGGGGGAAATGAGCAAGTATGAAGATGCGTGATAATCCGATAAGCAGCAAGAGGAGGAAATAAACTGTAAAGGGCACTGCCTTCAAGATCCAACTGTTGAGGTAAAATGGGAGAAGAAAACTGTCACACCAAATAACTCAGACGGATTGAGAATGATTTCTCCTGCTTCTCCCAAAAGCCAACAGCCTTAGAACTACTAGGTCCCAAATTACAATTTCTGTTCAAATTAAGGAAAAACAGGATAAAGCATTTTTGCATATATGAGTGAAAGATTTACACAGCTAAGGTTGGTCTACAAATGGAAATTCCAGTTTATTGATTTAGAAACACCTTAAAAAGAATCAGGCATTTCTGCTGCCTTCTCTACTGCTAATGTTAAAAGAATCTTGATGGGACTTCGTTCACAATTGCATCAGCTGAATCCAGATAATCCAGAAGCTGATATTTTTCCTCATCTGCAAACATTCACTCCTGGATTGCTCCTACTTTAGAAGACTAGTGAGGCCAATTCTACTAACAGAATGAAAAGAATTATAGGAATGGATCAAACAAAAGCACCTTGTTGATTATCCGTCTTCAAATGGAGGGGTTCCTATCTATTTGGAAGGCAAGTGTTTGATGCTAGTTAGAGTATTATGTCCAAAAAGTAGCATCACAGCTCAAAAAGTTACAGAATCTGCAACCATAACAATCAAGGGCCTGGAATAATTGCAACCCGGAAATATATAAAATATTTGCCTTTTTTGTTTTTCTGGGGCTGGGAGAACCAGGCACAAATTATATTATAAAATATAATAGGAAATATATCATAAAGGGTTATAATAAATGTGCATAGATTTCAACATCACCTGATAGGAGATAGAGGTATTTGGAAGAAAAGAGTCTGGGACTTTCCCTGCTGTACTGTCAAGTATTCATTGTGGCCCTGATGTTCAGTTACAATAGTGTTGGCAGGAAGCCGCATGCAGGTAACAGAAGGAGGATCAGGGCTTCATACTTCAACAGGAAGTTTTTAAAGAAGTCAGTACTGCAGACCAAAGGTGAATAACTCAAGGCTCCATTGCCTCCACAGTGAACAGCAATTTTAAGACACAAAGCAAACTCTTAAGATAAAGTCCAAGGTATGTAAAAGCTGTGATCTGACTGTGATCGCAATACTTCACTGAATGAGTTTAGGGTCAGGGGCTGCCTCTCAGCCCAATCTACCCGACTTCACTAATGGTGAGAAAAAAAATGGGTGGAGAACAAGCTATGTACATTACCTTAAGCACCAGAAGGGAAAAAAAGAGTATGTATCAAATCAATAAATCAATAAATCAGACATGATGCATTTCAAAGAAAGAAAGAATCCATGCCTCCAATCTCAATGCAAGAAAAAATTCCAAATCTTTGCCTGGCACTTGTGTATGATGTGTCTTTGCCTATTTTACATCATAGTGTGTATGTGTGTGTGTGGGGGGGGGGAATGTCCAGTCTTGCTGGAAGCAAAAGTTGGAAATACATAGATCTGGATTTATTGATAGTTTTGGTATGATTTATTGTAGACTGAAAAGGGCCCCTGAATTCTATAGCAGTGACAGGAACTCCACAAAAAAGAAAAAAAAATAGAAATTTGCACAAGTTTTAACAAAATCAATTCTGACTTAGAGAGTCAGAAAGTCATATACTTTCCTGTATTTCTTGGAAGAAGAACTGAATACATTAACACATAAACAAACAATTACTATAAGTCACAATGGAAGAATTGTCAAAATGACAGCATTCAAGAGCCGTGGAGGCACAGTGGTTAGATTGCTGTATTGGAGACTAACTCTGCCAACTGTCAGCAGTTCAATCATTACTGACTGAAGGTTGACTCAGCCTTTCCTCTTTCCGAGGTCGTAAAATGAGGACCCAGACTGTTGGGGGCAATATGCTGACTCTGTACACTGCTTAGAGAGGGCTATAAAGCACTGTGAAGCAGTATATAAGTCTAAGTGCTATTGTGACATACCTTTTGGAGTTCTTGGCTATCTGTCTAGCCAGAATGCTTACAACTGGCCACAGGGCTGCACCAGTGATCATACAGTGGCCAGAGGGACTGCCTGCAAAAAAGAAAAAGAAATAAAATCCCTCTGCTTGCTGGTGACCATCCATGTAAAAGAGAAAAAAAGTAAAGAAAAGGTATAATTATGTCACATAGTTACACATAGTGTTCTTAAATTAACTAATAATCTATGGGTAGTCCTCAAATTACAATTGTGGTCGTAACTCATATAATAAAATGTATTGGTCAGATGACCGGCTTGATTTTACTTTTTTTTTTTTTTGCAGTGATTACTAAATCAACCAAGGGTTTGCTATGGGTGTGGTTTTACAAAAAAAATTAGAAGTAAATGCCGTTTTTCGTCAAAACCATTACAAAATGTAGTCATGGATTGTACTACACGGTTTATAGGAATGAATGTTGCTGAGTACCCAAAGTACAGTCATGTGACTAGCGGGGGCTGACCCATCAGAACTTTGAATCCAGTAAATAGCTCCCTAGGTAGGTCTGCTGAACAGTCACTAAACGACCAGTCGTAAGTTGAAGACTATCTATAAAGATAACAGGTAACTTCTGTTACTGTATTAACTAATTATCAATTGGTTAATCTGATTATTTGATTTTAGTCGATTTTTGTCAGCAAATTCAAATGGAAAAAGATTCCATTTAGATGGGATAAGCTGAAAGGGCGATTTTTAGTTTTAGACAACAGAGATTCAGATTGAACACTGTGCAGAAAGCAAGAGACTTTCTGGGAAAACTCAAAGAGGAATTAGAGAAAAAGAAAGGATCATAGCAGAGTAACTAAACAAATGCCACAGCAGATACAGCTGGACACTGAGGATACTACCACATTCAGCACAAGTATTGATTTTTCTAAAATCTTGGTGTAACTGTGGATTATAAATGTTTAATGTGGAATAACAGTGTAGCAAATGCTCCTCAGAATAGAAAAAAATTCAGGCATTCCTCAACTTACAACTGTTTGGTTAATGACAAGTTGAAGTTATGATGGTCTTGGAAAAAGTACTTTACCTCCTGTATTTGCACTTACAACTGTTGCACCACCCCTGCAATCACATGATTGCAATTTGGGCGCTTGGATACCAGTTTGGATTTACAACCCTTAGCAGCACCCTGTGGTCACGGGTTTGTGATTTGCAACTTTTTTTGCTGGTTTCCATAAAAAAATGGCAAAAAACTCCACTGGGGAAGCTGATTCAATTAATGAAAGCACTAAAATGATCATAAAATCGGGTCTGATCATGTGATGACTTGCTTTACGACCCCATAATTTATAATGAAAATTCCAGCCCCAATTCTGATCTCAAGTTGAGGACCACCTGTATGTCATTATCTGGAAAAGTTCAAACAAGATGTGGTTTCCTTACAAGAAACAGATACTGTATTAGGGGGATTTTTTTTATTATAAAACATATTGATTTGGGGATTTTCTGATTAAATACATTTCCTGTTATAGAAATAGCTAGTAAAGTTAAGTACAAATAAATAAAAATTTGTGGCTATTTTATTCTTTTTATTCTGCTATGCTGAAAAAAGTTGGAAGTTAATGCTTCCTCCCCTCTTCTTTTTTTCCCTCATCCTACACTTCTTTCTCTTTCTTTTCCCTTCCCCGTTTCCCTTTATCTTTGTTCTCATTTGTATTTTATATTATGATAAAAATTAATTAAAAAAGAAACAGCTATTAGGAAAAAGGATACAAAATATTTGGGTGACAAAAAATTGGAATTTATCTCGGTAGGAATAAAAGAAACAGAGTTGCTTTGTATATAAACTCTCTCAAGTGTATTCAAAACTTATACTGACTAATAATCATGGCAGATATGTTGGAATGAAAGTTTTTTACAAGGAGCTAAGACTTTGATACTGGGAATGTATGGTCCAAATGAAAACAAAATAGCATTTTATAAAGATCCTATAGGTAAACTATTGAATTTTCTATGTGAAAATGGTGTTTCCTAAGATATTGGAATGGTGATTTGGATGATCAAACATTATAAAAATATGTTGTCACTATTCTCACAAAATGAGTGTCATGAGAAGGCCTTGCTTTTTCACACAATAACTGGCATGGTAGGCATAGCCAATCTGAAACCATTGACTCACCCAAAGGAAAGCAGGTTGAAACTAAAAGCAAAGTAACCATTCAAGAACCTTACAGAACAGAATTTCAAGAATGTGGAGAGAGGGTAACATAAACTTTCAACACTTATTTTCTTCAATTCCTATTTTCTATTGGGCTGCATTACCAACCTGGCCCTGTTTCACAACTGGATGGGAACTGACGGAGAAAAATTTCCTTCTTCTTGGAAAATCCAGATTCAGAGATCCACCAGAAAGGCCGTTCCCCAAATAATAACCTTGGAAATAAAAGGAAGAGGAAATATATATAATTAAGAGCTGGGAAGAACAAAATTAACACTTTCAAAATGCTAGGAAGTTTAAGTTTACTTGCCACCTTATCTACTAGTTTACAACTGACAACTATGGTACTCTTTCACTAGATTTATTAATTCATTTCTTCTAAGAATTCAAGGTGATGTACATTAGATAGCAATTCCTCATCCAATATTTTGCTATGACAATTCAATGAGGAATAATGGACTGAAAGCCAGCGACTGCGGCCTACAGTGTTAAGAAACCTTTCAGGACTGAAAGTGGACTAGAACACCAGTTTCTCCAGTTCTAGAAAATACTTCAACCCCTGCACCATTCTGACTAAATATTATTGTTTATCAGCGTAAAACCACTGGCTCTAATTTGTATTTTACAGCAGAAGGGTTGCAAGCTTGCCACTTTTGTGAAGGCAGGGCTATCTGCAACTGGACATTATTTTGTTAATTTCTACTGGACTCATCACAGTGTGAATCAGGCCTCACACCTACTGTATAACTAACAGGTATGGTAAGAAAGAAAGAGAACAACAGTTTCCAATTAAATCAAAGTCTTCTTCACATGCTAATGTAGAAGAGCTTTATTTGCAAACACTGGAACACACACACACATAGAGCTTTTCCCAGGCCAATGAAATGCACAGAGTCCAGGCAAGGGTCCTACACTGCTCTTCAACCCATCTGCAATCAGCTTTTAATGCATGAGTTCCAAGAAAGCCCTATTCATGTATATATACAAACCTTTACTCCAAGTCCTAACGACTACTATAGTATTATAAGCCATCCTCCTCTTGTTCTTAATGGAGCAATTCTATAATTCTATATCCTGGACAGAACAAGAAGATTTGTTCCATCGATGAATAGTTCCAAAATTGTTCTAAGCCTTGATATTAATTCCTCTGAAAGCCAAAAATATTTTGCTACTCCACAAAATTCTATTGAACGTCAGTTAACAAATATTAGTGGACTGTTGGTTAATAACAAATAAAAGCACTACCAGCTGCAATTCAAGTCATCCTATTCAAACACAGTGCAGCATGGGGTGAAAGTGGAAATTCAGACGGTGACTTTGAGTGAATTATTTTTTTATCACAGGCAGGCTGTAAGTCTAACAAATAAATTCAATATTCCAATTCCTTTCATGCCTGATTTTCTGCTTCTCCACACCATCCAGAATCACTGAATAGATTTTTTTTCCCTTGGGGTTCTTTAAGTAATTACCTTAATTTAGTTAATTCAATTCTCTTATATATTTGATGTTTGTTATGTGAATGCCATTTCAGCCACAAAGCATTTATTTATAAACCATGAAAAGGAATTCATCCTCTGTATAAATTGGAGATAGTTCTATAAGATGTCCTTGATGCAAAACAAAGTTTATGTTTTGTGTTTAGTTCCTGGATGTTGGCTCCTCCTTCTGTATCACAATGGCTGAATCTACCATTCCCCAGCATGATTGGAGAATCCACAAATGGGTTGTCTTAATCTTCCCACTCCAATAAGACTAAGTCTGCTGTGCCATTGCACCCCAGTTTTAGACTTAGTCTCTTGCTCTACAGGCGCGTTTTTTTCAGTCAGTTAGAACAAGATTGATCAGTTAGTCTTAAAAATTTTTTTCATTTCTTCTTGCTGGGAAGTTTTTACCTGCTCTTCTCTGCAGACTGATAACAGCTTCGTTCTCTCCTTGTCATATTCAGAGACAACTCTACAGGTTGTTACTGCAATGATTTCCTCAGGCTCCTTGTAAGTCAATGAGGCTCTCCCTGGCACCATCGGTCCAGGGGGCTGTGGCTCTGCCAGCCAGATGATCGGCGGAGGTCTGCTTTATTACCCGGAGGCTACCAGCAGCTCCAACAGCCAGCTGATTGTTGGAGGCTAGCCTGCGCACACCTCCTTGGCTAGCTGATTGACGGGGGACTCCCTAATCGACTGGAGCCTTTGCGGCAAGCCGAATCCACACTAAGCACAGCACGACAGCCAGCTGATCGTCGGAGCTCTATTACTTACAGCGGAGGCTTCCAGACAGGTCAGGAACGCTGATCACGTCCTTGTGCCTACCGAGGAGCCCAGGAGCTTCCTACAGGAACCAGGGCTCGTAGAGGTCTCAGCTAGGCTGGTTTACAGTCTCAGAGACAGTTGGCAGTTATTTTTGGCGCGCTTTTGTTGCTGCCGCCATTTTGTTTCAGCCTCCATTTTGTTTCTCTAAACTGAACATTGCAGCTGAACTTGGGGAGGGCAAGCTCGTCCCAAGGACGCACTACCTGGCGATTGACCCCCACCACCACCACCCTCACCTGGGTTTGGACGTTCCTTCGACTGGGCTCCTTCAGTGAATTTACAATGCTTGAGGGGGGGGGGAAACTTTTCACTGAATAGAGCTCTCAGAGGCCTGTTATCTCAGTTCCTCGAGCAATTTAGAGTGCAGGTTGCCAATTTGAATTTCCAAACACTATGGCAGACAACTCCCTTCCAACATCCTTACAGGACACCATCGAGCCCCCCGCCAAAAAGAAACACACGGCCTCTACCGAGGCGGCGGGGAAGAGCGTATTAAAGGCTAGAACACAGCCTTCCAAATGAGCTAGATCAGGCAAAGAGACCACCACTCCTCACACTTTGGAGGATTCCTCCAAATTGAGGTTAGTTACTCCAGGCCAATTGAACACCACTACACCTGGAGGATCCATATTTGAGCCCCTATCTAACCATTGTAGTTTAGCCCCAGGGGCCTGGTCTCCCCCTAGAGAAATGGCCCAGACTGAATCTGTCATGTCAGGGCTAAATCTAGGGACACACGGGGCAACTCTGCTCTATCTGGGCCTCAGGCCATTTTTACACCAACTGCAGCAGGCCTCCGCCCCCCCGATGTACAGTCATTAGGACCTGAGCATTTTCAGGTCATGATAGCTCAGGCCTTTGCCCAATTCATGGCCTCCTCTGTCTCCCAGCACCCCCCCCCCCAAGTTCCCTCAGCACCTCCTCGGTCCCTTCTTTGCCTTGAATCACCAGACCTCACAGAGGACGTTTCCTCTGACTCAGAGGCTGCAGGCTTCGACTCTTCAGGCCTGATCTTATCAGATGACGAGGGTACCTCAACATCAGATCCAGCTCCACCTGTTGGTCTTTTTGACCATTTCCTTTTCAACTCCTTACTACTCAAGGCCTGCACAATGGCCAACATCACTCCGGAACAGGAAGATCCTAATCCACTGTACGCCGAACCGGTGGTACCTCAGAAGCATATCCCTTACCCCCCTCTTCTTCTGCAACACAGTGCAGAAACAGTGGGATAACCTGGGTTCTATCCCCTATCTGGGATCAACAGAGAAGAGCTTGTTCAATGTGGCTCCATCTTTCACCTCCTTATTGGAGGTTCCTCAAATTGACGAGCCTCTGAATTTTCTGTTTTCCAATACAAACATCCCAGGGGACATAACCGAGGCACTTAAGGCAGAGGACAAGAAAATTGAAGCTGCCTTACGCAGATCTCATCAGGCATCGGCCTGGGCCATCAAGGCCTTCACATCCATGGCCTTCTTCACTCGGGCTTCAGTACTGTGGCTGCGTGAACTCCAGGACATGATTCCCCCTGACCAGGTCCGATTTCACCAGAACCTGGATAACTTGGTGGCCACATCCCAGTACATAGCTGACTCCTCATTACATGCCGCCAGATACTCTTCACAAGCCATTGGGGCGGACATTTCAGCCCACAGACTTATGTGGCTTAAGAACTGGCGGGCAGACCTCAAAGCCAAGTGGCGCCTTGCCACTAAGCCTTATACCGGGGGGCATCTTTTTGGCACGGCCCTAGATCCTTATCTAATAGAAGGCAAGCGCAAGACCCTCATTAACACCTCCAAAAAAGGAGATAAGCGCTCAGGGGCCGGGTCATCACAGAACTACTATCGTAGGCAGCCCTTTTGGCCAGCTTCCACCTGGGACTGGGCCCAGGCCTCTCGCACCTCCTACCAAAGACCGGAGCGCCAGCAAGACTGTTCCACATACAGAAATCGACCACAAGTCCAGGCCAAGCGGCCCTTTCGAGGCGCGGGAGGACACTTCTACAAACGAGGCACGTGATCCCACAGACTCCTCTCCTATAGGAGGCCGGCTGTCCCTTTATTCTGACATATGGGCAGCCACTACCACGGACTCATAGGTCATCACTCATAGATCTTAAACACCGTTACTCAGGATCTGATGCTGGAGTTTTGGGCCAGTCCATCGGATCGGTTTCGATCTTACCCCATTCCCACGAACAGGACTAGAGCGGACTTCATGTCAGAGGCCACTGCTCAACTTTTACAGATTCAGGCCACAGAACGAGTACCGCAGGACCAGGAAAGACGGGGGTTCTACTCAAATCTTTTCGTCATTTCCAAGTCTTCGGGGGGCTGGAGGGCAATCTTAGACTTAAAAGATCTAAATTATTATTTGATGTACAGGAAGTTCAAGATGCAGTCACTACAATCAATCTTAGCTAGCATCAGAAAAGGGGACTTCCTTACATCAATAGACCTAACTAAGGCATATTTGCATATCCCCATTCTCCCTGGGCATCGCAAATTCCTCAGGTTTAGCTATGCCCAACGGCACTACCAGTACAGGGCCTTACCATTTGGCCTCTCTTCAGCACCTAGAGTGTTCACAAAGGTACTGGCAGTACTGGCAGCCCACCTGAGACAATCCCCAATCAGAGTCCAGTGTTATCTGGACGATATATTAATTCAGTCCTCCTCCTACCAGAGCGCTCAGTCAGACCTCGCCCTCGCTATCAGGACCTTTCAGGAGCACGACTTTTCTGTCAATTTTCAGAAAAGCTATACTGTACCCTCAATTCAGCTCCTACATCTAGGGGCAATTATAGACACGAATAGCTGTACGGTCTATTTATCACAGGACCGTCAGGAAAGCATTCAGGCCCTTGTCCATCGGATCCGAAGAGCCAAGGTGGTCACATTAGCCTCATTATCTCAGCTCCTGGGGAAGATGGTATCCTGTGTACAGATCATTCCGTGGGCACGCCTTCATGCCCGGGAACTACAGTGGCTTCTTCTTCCATTTCAGAGGCTACGCATCAGCGCTTCCAACCAGAAGGTTCGAGTTCCGTGGCCGGTGTTGAACTCCCTTCGATGGTGGGCTTCCCCAGCACTGTCAAGGGGCAGAGTTCAGAGAACCAGTCAGAATCACCATCAGCACGGACGCAAGCCTATTCGGCTGGGGAGCATACCTCCAGTCACATTGGGCTCAGGGTCGGTGGTCCCAGGAGGACTTACAAAACAATATAAACTGGCTGGAACTCAGGGCCATACATCTGGCTCTACAACATTTCAGCAACCTAGTAGCAGGACAGCATGTCCTGATACTTATCAACAATATTGCTGCCAAGCCCCACGTCAACAGGCGGGGGGGGGGGGGGACAAGGTCCAGGCCTCTCATGCAGGAGGCCCAGTTGTTGGGGTCTTGGGTGGAATTGAATCTTGCTTCCATCAGGGCAGAGCACATATCCGGAGTGACCAATCAACAGGCGGACTCATTAAGGAGAGCCACCGTGGACCATGCCGAGTGGCGATTGGACCCGGAAGTATTCAGGGAGATCGTGGACAGGTTTGGTTCCCCAGCCTTAGACCTTTTTGCTTCCCCAACCAACTCCCAACTCCCGAGATTTTTTTCCAGGTTCCCGTCTCCAACAGCAGAGGGGACAGATGCCCTCCACAGCCCCTGCCCAGGGAACTGCTTTATGCCTTTCCTCCCTTGCCACTTCTTCCCGCCACGATCCGAAAGACACTTCACGAACGGGCGGAGATCCTCCTGGTTGCACCACATTGGCCGAGACGTCCATGGTTCACCAACCTGATGGAGCTCTCCGTCTCCCCTCCGTGGAGGATCCCGGCAGGTCGTATTTCCCTCACTCGGGGAGCTCCAGCACCCATACCCACAATGGCTCCAACTAACCGTTTGGCACTTGAGAGGCGGGCCTTGAGCCAAGACTCATATTCGTCAAGGGTGATAGCCATGATTCAACAATCCAGGTGCCCCTCGACAAATAGAATATATGATGCCACATGGAGGAGCTTCTGCAATTGGTGCTCAGGTCGTAAGGTAGAACTCTCGGGTATCTCTGTACCACTTGCGTTGGAATTTCTGATGGATGGGTTGGACAAGAGGCTATCCCCGAGCACCATCCGTAGACAGGTTGCAGCCCTTGCTACGGTAATCACGTGTGACAATGCCACTCCCCTGGCACATCACCCTACGGTCCGTTCCTTCTTAAAGGGAGCGACTAACGCCAAGCCACCTACAGTACACTGATACCCATCGTGGGACCTTCACCAGGTCTTACAGGCACTCGTTTCATTACCCTTCAAACCTATTGCCACATGTTCGCTTAAACTATTGTCTATGAAAGTGGCATTCCTTGTTGCGATCACGTCGGCCAGGCAAATCTCAGAACTGGCCGCTCTTTCAGTCAAAGAGGACCTTTGTGTTTTCCATGCAGACAGGGTGACCCTCAGACTAGACCCTTCCTTTGTACCCAAGGTAAATTCCTTGTATCATAGATCCCAGGAGGTGGTTTTACCAGATTTCTGTCCCACCCCGTCCAATGAATTGAGAAGCAGTGGAACACACTTGACGCTCGCAGGGCCCTGCAACGTTACATCAGACGGACTTCGGCCTTCCATAGGTCCGAGGCATTGTTTGTATCCTTTCAACCTTCATGCATGGGCCAGAAGGTCTCCTCCTCAACATAGGAAGATGGATTAAGGCCTGCATCGCCCTAGCATACCAAACTCAATCACTGATGGTTCCTAGGCATATCACGGCACATTCCACATGGGGCACCGCTACTTCGGCAGCTTGGGCGACCCAGGCATCCATAGGGGAGATTTGCAGGGCAGCGACATGATCCTCGCCCTTGTCCTTTGTCCGTCACTATAAGATTGATAAATATGCATCTTCCAATGCCTCCTTTGGTCGCAGGGTGTTGCAACACGTGTTGTCATCTAGCAGGACCCAGGCCCAGACTGATTCCCCCCTTAGGGACACAGGGCTTTGGTATGTCCCATTTGTGGATTCTCCATCCAATCATGCTGGAGAAGGGGCGCTGTCTTACCTGAACGCCTTTTCTCAGCATGATGATGGAGAATCCACTCCCTCCCACCTAGGGTCAGTTGGGCCCTGGTTCCAATATTAGGAAAGCACACGCGCTGGACTAATGTCTGTGTATCGCCTTAGTCTCAAACTGGGGTGCAATGGCACAGCAGAGGCGTATCTACACTTCAGACTTAGTCTTATTGGAGCAGGAAGATTAAGACAACCCATTTGTGGATTCTCCATCATCATGCTGAGAAAAGGCATTCAGGTAAGACAACGCTCCTTCTCCATCTTACAAAAGCAAAGAAGTTACTGTCTTACTGTAGAATAATACTGCCCTTGCTCCTATGGGTTTTCCTGATGCCAAAAATGGAATGGCTAGATTCCAAACATTCCATACAGTTCACAGGAATGAATCTAGTTTAATTCTGGAATATTGTCTTTTTACCTTTGCTTTTTCCTCACCATTTAGACATCAAGTTCAGCCATTCTGAGATTAGGCCCAACCACAGCACCGTCAATCCAACCTTCTTACCCAGCAGGAAGTAGGCAAGAGGGAAATAAATAATGAAGACACATTTGGGATCGCCGAAAAAGGTTACCCAAAGCCAAAAATCCTCCAGGCCAGGCAGGGCACTCTGAAGCGTTTCAGCAAACTGAACACCAGTAGTGTAAACGATATCCATGGTGGTGAAACTGAAATAGATGAGAAGAATTAAAATGCGTTTCTGACAAGCTCTTACTGAGCCAATGTCTTTGCAATGCAGAAATCAAGCAATGAAACTGTTCAGAAAATAGTTAAATAGCTTCCATAACAATAAAGAAGAAGCATGTGATGATTCAAGATCTGCTTGTAAGCCAATCTGGCCACCCTTTAGATGTGTGAAATTCAGATTTCTCAGCAGTAGCCATCTCAGAGGCCATCACTTAAGTTGAGAAAGGACCTTGTAAGTCAATGACAAACAAAAGTGGCCATTTTGTATTGAAACACCTTGCTGGGAACTTTTCTACTGCATTCTAGTGCCACAAACGGATACAGAAAAGCCATACCTGGGCATAAACCTAAATACCTCACTCATCATGCATGCATACCCTATTAATAAACATCCATTACCTTTACCATTCATGTACTGTCATTTAAACCCCCACTCCTATTATTTCTCCCCATTATCCCTCTCCTTTTTTCACAGAGTTCGATATAAAATGGAAGGCTATATAAATGAATTAAGTTAAATAATTAAATAAAATAAAATTATGATCAGAGAGTTAGGAAATATGATGTAGGGCAGAAGTATGCACTTAATAATCCCTTATTATTTGACATGTTTCCAGTGGATATGCTAGCATTATAGGACTACCTATAGGGTAAAATGTGTCAAGATGGCAACTGTAACAGTAGGACATAGTACGACCAAAGCCACTATCTTGAATTTTTTTAACTATTGCATTGCTTCTGTTTCCATCATAGAGTCCCAAAACTAACTCTTAAAATCCCTAACTAATGATACAAGCTTATAGGAAAACATGGGCAAATATGAATTAAATCACAGGAACATGCATAAATCACACAAACAAGGGGGAATAATAATGATAGAGTTGGAAGGGACTTTGGAAGTCTTCTAGTCTAACTTCCTACTCAGGCAGGAACCCTATACCATTTCAGACAAATGGGAATTAGGGAGGGGGATTGTCTTCAGAGATGAGATGGACTCACTCTCAGCCGGTTCCAACCTGATTCCAAGGTTGCTGCGCCCTTGCACCTCAACATTCTTAAAACAACCTTGTGGCACCAAGTGGTGCCAGCACACTGGTTGGGGTGTGTGTGTGTTGGATTTTAGAATGGGAAGAATAGCTTTGTACTTTGTGCGGGACCATTAGATTCAGCCTGTCTTTACTGCAACCACTGTCTCTCAGTAGAAGTTCTTTTGATTAACCTTACTGGAGTCAAGATGATACAGAAATAAAACCAGTAGTTTAACATATGATAGTTGAAGCCTAAATTAACTATTATGTTTAAAATAATATTTTAAAAATACTTGCATTCTTCTTTCTATCCCAAAGATGTCTAAAGTGGTTAACTACAGGAACAAATATACCTTTCTTTTGTTTTTAGTTTTTTGAAATCCAATGAACTGAAATATAAAATAATTAGATTATAAGGAATCCACATATAAAACAGCTTGCAGCAGCCAAGAATCTTAAAAAGAAGCAAATAGCAACGTGAGAAAGAGGTAAAACCATCCCAGGGAAAGACGGGCATAGAAAAATCCAGTTTATTAAATGCTATGGAGAAGATAATTTTAGTTACAATACAGAGTATTTCTTGAGGGTGGCCAAGAAGGAAATTCCATTCTGAATTTGGGTCTGGAAACCATATAGTGGTCTTTTCTAATTTGATAGCATGGAAATATGTAAATATCCATTATCCCCAGCCACCATGGATTTATGGAAGTTGGAAGAAGTATCAATCTAGTAAGCTCCAGGCTTTTAATTAGAAATTAAAACAAATATCTTGAAATATACCTTATTTATTAAAGGAAGTCCTAGAAAAAAGTTTTTCAAACAGCTAGTTTCAGACAATTCTTTTGTCACGTGTTCAATAGATTGCAGTGCCAATTGTACCAATAATAATAGGTGACTTGGTGAAAACCCAAAAGAACTGGAGCACCACTTGAACACCATTAGCATTGATAAATTCACCATCGGTCAATTACAAAAGGCAGCTGGACTTGGAAACAACTTACCGTATTTTCCGGCGTATAAGACGACTGGGCATATAAGATGACCCCCGACTTTTGAGAAGATTTTCATGGTTTAGAAAGTCGTCTTATAAGCCGGAAAATACGGTACATCCTGCAATGACATCAACATCAAGAGCTGCTATCCCAGATCCTTGGAAAGGACTTGATTGGTGGACAAAAATGCCAAATCCAGTCTGAACATCAGGCTGACTAAGCAATGAACCATAATAACAAATTATTCATTTCATTTATTTGATTGGATTTATATGACTGCTTAATTATTAAACAACTCAACTGTCCAAGGAATACAAAATTAAAACAGTCATAGCATTGCTAATGGATTCACAAAACTCTACAGCTCAGAGCTCCTTGAACAGCCAGGTTGTTATGACCTACATGAAGACCATGCAGATCTTGGAAGAAAAACTATTAAAATATTGTGGGATCAAGGTGGTGTGCTTTCACCTTCTGGAACAGTTCAATCCACCCCCCCACACCCACCCAGAAACAAGGAAAGTACTGAAAACATGGATTTAATTCCACCCAGGTCTGAGAATGATGTATTATTATTTGTGTAGCACTCCTATTTTGTTTGATTTGTGCTGTTCATAAGATTGTTTTAGTCTGAACTGTTGATGTTTTATCTATTTTCAAGGATTTTCCAGTTTTGTTTACTGCCCAGAGTCCATTATTATACACCTAATAAGTAATAACTGTTCCAGGAGAATGGAAGGGTGGCAGGGGATGTATGTTCAATGAGATCATGCTGACCTGATTGGATTTTATGAGATGGGCCATAGATAGGAATAGAAATGGCTTTGAACAGAAAGATTCTTCCACTGAACAAAAATATTTCCAATAAGAGAACCCTCAGAAATATATCTTCATCCTATTTGATCCACCTATGAGAGAATGCTCTATGTCTTAAGTACTTGACAGATCACGGAAGAGCAGACCTGGAAACAGATATTTTCAACAGCTGCCTCACCTCTGTGGAATATTATTAAATCCATATTATCCCCTACACAAAATTTTGTGAGGCAAGAAAACACATGGTGTAAAGTGAGCATTTAGAGACCAAGAGTCTTGGTATGAATTTTGCTTAATTCTCACAACTTTTTAGCTGTGGTTCTACAAACATATTTTTCCAGAACAGAATAAAAATCTTAAAATGTTATTCTGTCATTTGACAAGCTAAATACTTCCAAACACAACCATTTTACAAATATTTTATGGCTGATAGCATCCAAAAACCTAGAAATGTCAAGGCTAGAGAATTAGCAGGAGGGAACAGCTTTGTTTTGTTCTGTGAATGGACTTCAACTCCCAGAATTCTCCAGATATTTAAGTCCAGCATCTTAAAATTGCCAAGGTTGAGAAACACCGCCTTAGGGCAACCAAGATGCCAAAAACCAAGCTCAAATTACCATCTGCCATCTACTATATCTGTTATCCTAGTTGGTCTTGCATTATCCTCTATGATAGCTTCAGAATAAAGTTCAGAAAACTCACAACTCACAATTGCTCTCTGTGATTTTCCCAAATAATTTCAGTTTTGAGAAAAAAAAAACGCCCCTAAAACATCACAGTTCAAGGACAACTTTCACACCAGGAACTTCCTGATTCTTCTGGTGCTTTCAGTACACCACCGCAGTGATTTCCGGTCTCCAGAAACCCTGATCTGACAAACCTGAAAAGTCTGCATTAGCCCTTCTCCTCCCCAAACTGCTTCCAGGATTTCTAGGAAGAGATTTCTTGAGGATAAAGCAACGTAATGCCCTAAGGTGCGATGAGACACGCATAGGCTAAATTTAACATTCTTTTTTGTTAGGAATACAAAACGCGATGCTAGAAAATTTTCATGTCTGACTGAACGTATATTGTATTACCTCCTCTCCCCCCCACACATACAAACACCAATAATGGCTCAACAATACATACTAAATGAAGTTTTAAAACTGTATTTTAAGCATTATAATATTAGAAATATTAATCAGCTATTCTTTTCAGCTCTGTTTCTGTATTTCCCAAGATCGATTTCAAACAGTTCCCTCTTTCTTTTCTTTTCTTTGCGATTTGTCCGCTTTCGGGTCAATTACACGTCTCCTCCCGTTACCTGCAATTGCCGGTTTCTGATTGTTCGCGCAATTGAATGACCAAACTACATTTCCCAGAAGTCTTAGAGATACGGATTCATCAGCATCCGGTTTGATTACCGGATGAACAAAGGGACATTCACCAAGATTCGCGTAATCTTTCAAGTTGCAATTTTGACTATTTTATTAAATAATTTTGTAGTTTTATTGGTTAGATGTATTTCTCTGTCCGATACATGGCACGAAACTCTTTGCTGCCATATGATGATCTGATTTTTGCAGTCCCCAAATTTTAAAATAGAGGAGTCTCAGAAAGCCATGACTTTAAAATATCATTCCAATTTAATGAATTGGTATATTTGTTAGGATATAAGTTTTTGATGTTGGGAGACCTTCTGTCAGTTTCTCATCCATTTTTGATTGTCCCATTCATGCATATACAGTAGGCCCACTCCCTCACACACACACACCCCTACAAAATTGGAAAAAGGCCCCCTCCCCCACAAAAAAGCACATTCAAAGTATCAGGAGATATTGAAGAATTCCCCTCTGGTAAAAGATTACAGTCCTGTACTGTACTTTGCTTGGAACTTTTCAACATATATTAAAAAGATGTTAACGAGTCATGAAAAGTGTTAAAATTATACAGAATATAAAGAAAGTGAATCTCTCTCTTTCCCCCTCTTGAAATTCAAACAGTGTTTATCAAATTTAAATAGCCACCCATCTCACAAAAAGTTATTATTTCATTAATCAATCATTAATAAAAATACAAAAGAATTATTACTGCATTAAAATATATATATATAAAAACAAGGCATGGGAGATAGTATTAACCACAATGATGGAACCGTCTTAGAATGTCACTAGGATCCCAGCCTGATGACATGGCCAAGTGTTGAGGGACTTCCAGAACATTAACAGGGATGGAGCTAATCTCACTTTTGGACAGTTGGAAATGTAGATGGATTCTCTGACCATAGATTAGTCTTTGGCTTGATCCAGTACTACTGCTCCTAATATTCTTCAGTGTTTCATAAACAAACCTTACATTGGGACTACTTTCAAGATTATTTCCCACAGTACCATTTAATGTAGTGAACATATATTTTCAAGTGCTTTAATATTTTGTTCTGAAGTAATACATTGCCTCCCTCAACTGTTTCCTCTAAGTAGCATGGATTGTGTATAAAGAACTTGTGAGTTTCTTATCATACTGACCTCATATAAAATTCTAACTTGCATTTATTCTGCTTCTGCAATAACTATTTTCAATACTGCTTCTAAGGACTTGTTTTAAGAAATATATATCTGCTGGGCTTTGTAAGATTTTAAATTATGTTCATCAGAGACACTTATGGATAATTTATTTGAATTCCTTTTCTTTCACCTTTGCAAGGCTGACAACTGATGCCTGCTTTGCACCCATTTTCTTTAATCAAGGCTACCATAGTTGGACTGCAAAAATCTGGCTAACAATTAGCTAGCAGAAAACATAGAAATAGAATAACAAGGTTATAAGGGACCTTGGGGGTCTTCTAGTACAATCCCTTGCTCAAGCATGGGATCCTATACTATTCTGAACAAATGATGGTAGTCCAGGGGTGTCAAACTGCCAGCCCACGGGCCGGACGCATCACCAGGAAACTGGGCCCACCCCATTGCCGGCAATGGGAAAAAAGCTCCGATATGTCGCGCGACATCACGTGATGTCGTGAGTTTGACATGTCTGGTCTAGTTTCTTCTTGAAAAACTCCAGAAATAGTTACAGGAAGCTTTAATTTGGTACAGTAATTTGCCATCTACTGGTAGTTTTCAACTTCAAACAGTCACTAAATAAATGGTTGTAAGTTATGATGCTGTGGAAAAAAATATTTACGACTGGTCCTCCCACTTACAGCCATTGCAGCGTCCCTGTGGTTACATGATCCAAATTCAGGCCTTTGACAATTGGAATGAATTTTTGGTGGTACAGACTCCCAGGGTAATGTGGTCATCATTTGCCGTCTTTCCAGCCTGACAAAGTCATTGGGGAAAAATAGATTTACTTAATGACTGCATGTTTCACTTAATAATTGTGGTGATTCACAAAATGGCCATGGCAAAAAAGATCATAAAATTGGGTGCAACTTACATAATTAAATAATTGATTAAGTAACAACTGCCTTGCTTAGCAATGGAAGTTCCATTCCCAATTGGGATCATAAATCGAGGACTGCCGGTAGTAGTCCTCCAAACTGTCGAGGTCGATATATCGGAATCTCACTTTCACAAATGCTCCTAACTCTTATTTGTCCAAAACAGTGATTCAATTTTCAAAAAAGTGCCGTCACTTATTATCTGTATTTCTACAAATGCTGTACACGCTTTGTATTCAACCATTTTCTAATCTGTTTAGGACTGCAATTATGTAGCAACCTATTTTATCCATACGTACTTCAGGATAAAATCTATTGAATTGCAACCGATCTTTTAAAGTAAATGCCTGCAACTGTCACCCTTCCATTTAAAAAGATTTTTTTTCGAAACTAAGAGTACTTGAAAGTTTGATCAGACACATGGTTTTCTTTTGCAAAAATGAATATGTTCTACCCATGATAGATTTATCTATTATGATTCAATTAATAGAATATTTTAAATATGGACCTCTCAGTTTAAACTAGTTTAATCCATCTATGGAACTCAGTAAAAGGCTTTGCTACAAAAACATTTGAGATGATTATACCTTCTAGAGTCCAACAGTTTCTATAGCATACATTTTCATAAATTGCATTCTGCTTCTTTGGACATTTGCAAGCTGTCGGAAAACCTTGCTACAATAAATTACAGTATTCTTTAAGATGCCACAAGAATTTCGTTATCTTTCCGAATATATAAACGTCTATCTGAAATGTCTATCCATCTGTCCCCTCACAGATGAAAATCGCAAGCATTGAACTAGCACTGCGAAACTCTACAGTGATGTAGAGTTTAAAGGCTTAAAGGCATTGGATATCCAGATCCACCTTTAGAGACCGGATAATATGGGACCAAGAACTATTTCGCAATCCAATACTATTGCAGTCGTGAAATGTCGGGAAACGCTGGAAAAGAGCATGCTGTGGTCACTATTTTAAGCTCCTGGAGGAAAGGCAAGTTATTAAACTAATGAATGATCCTAACTTTTTCATCTGAACTAAATGGAGGTCGATTTATTCGCCCCCAAACAGCAATGCATCCTTAGGAGCGATGCACTGACCGATCTCCACTTTGCAGCCCATCGTAGATAGTTTTACTGCAGGTTAAACTTGCTCTCGAACAGGTAATCTGCAATCTTACAATTGAAATGTGGGAGTGCTTGCTCAGAAGCAGCCTTTATTAAGCAGTCACATTTCTCTCGGTTCAGTGGGCTTAGGATTGTAGCCGCGATGCTTTCCCTCGTAGTTAGAGTGATTACTCTATGGTCATCTATTGAGAAAAAGTTCAATCCTTAATCAGGTTTATTTCAGGGAAAATCTGCATAAAACACCAGCTCAAATTCCTAACTGGACCCCTCAAGAGATTCGCCGGCTCAGGACCCGCCCCTTTCCTGTCGCTCCTCCCCCTTTTAACCTGCCTCTGCTCCCCGTGGTGTTCTTTCCAAACGTTGGTAGGGGGATGCTCGCACCTCCCTAAACAGGGACCGCAGAACAGCCAGCCAACCGCCTCTATCTTTGCTAGTGACGTCACGTGCGTGCGTGGGTGCGGGAGGGGCCGACGTACAGGCGGGGCCCCGTTGCCTTGGCCACTCGTCCTTTTTTTTTTTTTTTTTCCGCCTAGGCTGAAGGAGCCAGGTGGCTAAAGGAGGAGAGACTAGCGCATCGGCCCCGGTTTGGCGCGCCGGGATCGATTTCGGCGCTCCTTTTCCTCGCGCCATTCCTTCTGCCACCTCAGCGAAGGTTGCAGAGGCGCAGCGGGGGCGCGAAGGGTGCCGCCGCTGCGGCCTGGGCCTGAAACAAGATGGCGGCCCCGGGCGAGTACTTCAGTGTGGGCAGCCAAGTGTCGTGCCGGACTTGCCAGGAACAGCGGCTGCAAGGCGAGGTGGTGGCTTTTGATTACCCCAGCAAGATGTTGGCACTCAGTATCCTGATTGGGAAGGGCAGGGCAGAGCTCCGGTAGGGCAAGGGGAGGACGTGGCTGGGCCCGCGAGGGGTCTGTATGGGAAAGGGGCACGTGAGCTCGGCCAACTCGATCCTCTTCGGCAGATGGAAGCATGAGGAGCTGTGACAGATTTGGAAAGATTGGGGCTGTTGCTGGAATGAGCGCTATGTCAAAGAGTCCCAGAAACCCAGAAGCGTGGTTTTGGGGGAGGGGGCCTAATTTTGAAAGAGGAGACTCGAAGGACTACCTGGGTATTTGAACCATACTGTTTACATATGGAATTGGAGCCAGAGGTGAACTATACAGGAAGGAGGATGAAGAAGAGGTATTAAGTTAACTAGGTTAAGGAAGAGGAGAAAACTGAGTGCTAATGGATAAGAAGTGAAAACTGAAGCACAGAAAGTGCTTTCTGGTATTGTAATAGAAATGGAAAAAAAAATGGATATGTCAAGAATATGTAATTTATGGAGATAGGATGTGGGAAGCTGCTTTGAGGAAGAGAAGTGGACAGTGGTGCAGGATTTTGGTGACTTGTAACATTTGATTTCTCAGTATAGGATGGCTAGTAATCTGAGTATGAATAATCTTTGAAAAGTATTTTATGCAAGTCAATCTATGTAAGTCTTCATTTGCTGTTTATGCAATTGTTTTTGATATGTGTGTGTGTAGAGGTTTACAGTAATATTTGGTTTGGGTTATCTTATTATATGAATTAAAAAAAGATTTGCAGCAAAAAGAAAGGAGTAAGTAGTTGGAGTAGTTATTTCTTGTAACTGCTATGGATCTTCACTGACTACATTTAAGACAATTGTAGTCTGGGCCATAGTTTTTGAATTGAAGAACTCAAGAGAAATTGAGTTAATGAATGATGATGAGATGTGAATAGACTATTTTGGTGTGATGTATAATCATAGCTATTAAAAGGCAAGAAACCTAATAATGCAGTAGTCTATTTGACATCCTTCTTGATCTAAGAAATAATACCCATAGCTGATACAGTAGCCCAAAACAGTGTTCTTTTTTATTAAAATGTCATAGTGAACATTGGTTCAGGGAGACTGAAACTCAATACCTTCTCTCTCTTTTCCAAGTGTAGTTCATTTCAACCTGTATGGCTTTGAAAGGGTAAGCTATTGCATATCAATTCATGGAAAAAAAGGAGTATCCTGGTAGGGCAGAGTAGCAGCACAAGATTCTGTGTTCAGTCTTGTGATAGGAGGCTTTGATCTGTTTTTTTTTAATTACAATGAAATTAGTATTCTGGGTGATTTGACAGCAGCCTCATGGATGTAATGAATAGTCCACAGAGATTTTGTGTGCTCTTACAGCAGTTTTGCAGAGAGACTGATAAAGCTATTAAGAAAATGATTGTTGTGTTGGGTAAGGTTTGGTTTATATAGTTAGCACCTGTTGCTGGATGTTTTAAGTGAACTAATTGTGCTGTTGAATTTGTTTGCAACTTTTCTCAGGAGGCAATCCTGATTATATTGGATATACTATAAAGATAAAATCTTCCTTCATAGAAGTATATCACACTCTGAATTGCTATACAATTGTATGTTTTGTACGTTTCCTTAATATTTTTTCCCCAGAATGCCCTTCCTCAAGTGGCAAACCTAACCACGCAGATATCTTGCTTATAAATTTGCAGTATGTATCAGAAGTTAACATAATTAATGACCGCACGGAAACACCCCCACCTTTAGCTTCACTCAATGTTAGCAAGGTAAGACTCTTTTGTGAATATGGATTTTGAAGTCACGCACACAAACTTCACAGCATAAAATGTTTTTTGTTTAGTTCCAATTGACTTTTAAACTGCATCTTGATGTTCTTATCCATTATATTTTCAGTAGCAGCAATATAGTTGCTGGTAATTGTTAAATATTCATATTCATATTCAGTAGCAGCAATATCTTTTCTGGTAATTGTTAAATATTTCCTAATCCAGAAATTCTCAAATCCTAGCACAGCAATCTTATAAAACAATGAATTAGTTTATGAAATCCATATGAATAGATCAAATTATTTCATTTGGCTTGACCAAGAAATTAATATAGTACTATGTGTTTAATATTCTCTTGACTTTATTAGCATTAGTTGTCAACTTTAACTTTTCTCTTACCGCACCACAAAAATATTTTCATTTTGAAAAGTTGCAGGTTTAAATAACAGATAAAAATACTAAACTTTGCTAATGTGTACACTTCATGAGACACTAAAGATGATCAGTATTCTATTACATTGGAAGTTATAAGCCAGCAGAAGATAACTTGCCAGTCACAGTTCCAATGGACAGTTTAACCATCTTTCAAAAGTCACTTCAACAGTGATTCCCCATTGTTATTATGCAAGCCAGTTGCAGGCTTCGCCAGGAAACATGGGAGCAGGTTTTGATAATGCATGTGTTTTGTGCACACATGTCTAATCACTTTAAAATTAAATGTGCATCTCAATTCTTCTAATTTTCTCAATATCTTCAATTTGGAAATAATATATCCCATAATAATTTTCAGGCTTTAAAATGCATTCTTAATCTTGAGAGTATTTTACTGTTCAACTGTATCTCATTTCCCTGATGCATTTTAGTTGGACAAGGCAGCCTTCCCTCAAAGTTATATATGATTGTAGCGTGGACTTAATAGAATGCTAGATTCAAGAAAGATGGCTATCCTCTTGTTTATCACTGGAATGAGGTGTCCTTATTAAGCACTGGTCCAGCTATTTATTTATTAGGTTTTGTTTTCTTTTTACTTAGATGCCTATCTCTGGGTCAAGGCTTTTCCTTTTCCCATAGATGTTCTATCTTTTAATTGCCTAGAGTTGGGAATGACAGATGTATATAATTAGATGTATGTAGATGTAACTCTTTTGTAGGGGTCATGGGAGAAATTTGTTCAGAATGTTTCATGTGGGATTTGGAAGGGTGAATAATACACATTTCAGTTTTGTACTAAGTGTCAAGTAATTTGGCTTTGCACTGGAAATGCAAATGTACAGCAGTATCTAAAATAATATCAGGTGGATATTGCAGCCTGCTAAACTATTTATCATATAAGGGCAAAGTATAGAAAGGCAGTTACTGCTGCCTTTCAGAGTTTTGATTTTGTGGCACAATTTTGCTAAAGAGAAGAGAAGGGTTTATTTGGCCAAGAGTGATTAGAAGGAATTTGTCTCAGAATCTCTCAGTGTACATGCAAAATAACAGTAATAATCACAATAATGATATCTATAAGAGGCGGTAATAGAGAATATGAGAAGGATAATAATAATACTAATACTATAGCCATAAAACATGGGTGGATATATTTACACATATGATAGTATTGTGAGGATTAGGTATTCACAGAGTGATGGCATGAGGGAAAAATGGATTTGCCTATAGAAATATAGTTCTGTTATATGCCTGCTGGGCATATTCCCAATTAAATAATTTCTTCATCTGTCAGAGCCTTCGATGGCACTTGTTAATTAAGTAAGAGAATATGGAGGCTTCTCGGTGTTGTTTGATAGCCACATTTTAGTTCTTGCCAAAGATATAAAACAAATGGATTTAGTTAACTAACCTTCTTTCCTACAAATAAAGCTATAAGTGAAGCATTTTGTACATTTCTTCTAGTCTAGTGTTTCTCAAACTTGGCAACTTTATGATGTGTGGACTTCAACTCCCAGAATTCCTGGATTTGAATATTCGATTGGACTACTGTATGTCAGCTGTACCTCATTTTCCCCTCATCTTTCCCTCTACCCCTTTAATCTTCTTAAAACTACCTCATTGCTTCCATATTTTAAAATTATCTGTGGTTTATATGTTTTGATTTGGAGAGTTTTTAACTAGTTAAAGAACTTAACTTCATGAGATGGGATTGGTCCCATCTCTTGTCATCCAGACATTCCGCAGATTCAATTCCATTTGAAGATTAAAGTTACTGCATCTCTCATGTACCTTTGCAGCTTGCAAGCAAAGCACGGATGGAGAAGGAAGAAAAGATGAGCCAGGCATATGCAATTAGTGCTGGGGTCTCCTTGGAAGGACAACAACTATTTCAGACTATACACAAGACGTAAGTAACATGAACTTATATAGATATAATGGTATTAGTAGGTAATTTTTGAGCAGAAATTGCTAGAGTACATTTATCCCTTCCAAGTGCTCGGTCCAACAAATAATTTGGTTTTTCTTTTCTTTTCCTTAAAAATCAAGAACTTGGAAATAAAACTGATTTTTTTCCTAACTTTTTGTGATTAAAATTGAATATGTTAGGTGAATTATTCTAACCCCAGATAATTTGGATTGTTATGGCTCTTTGATACAAATGGTATATGATTATTTGCTGGTGAATTTATGTTGATAGTGTGAATTTTGCTTTGTGAATGTTTTATTTTTTCATTTTCATCTAGCAAATATGATTTATGCAAATCACTTCATTTAAAAAAATCCCACTGTATATTTTAATTACTTTTTGAGATACAATAGTATTTCTAAAGGGTTTAAATTCAGTAATGAAAATGAAAATTATATTGAAACTAGTTTATTGTGAAGGGTGCACATCTGTCCATTAAAAGAACCAGTTTACAGCTTAAATACCTGTTACATACTTCAAGTCAGTTTGGTAAAACTACACAACAATATTCAGGTATCCTACTAAGCCATTATGTGGTTTATTTCATTTTGATTTAGCATTATGTGTAAAGTAATTCCTTGTGGCTTATAATTTATGTCTTAGACATGCATATAAATTTAATCATATTTTATTGACAAAAAACATAATTTAGCACAGCGGTTCTCAACCTATGGGTCACAACCCCATTTGGGGTCGATCGACCATTTTACGGGGGTCGCCAAACAATGTGATCTGCCATTTTCCCCCCTCGGGGCGGCGCCGCGCATGCGCGCCGCACATGGGGGCGGCGCCACGCATGCATGGCACGTTCATGTGATGAGGGTCATCGTCACACAAATGTTGAGAAACGCTGATTTAGCATTATGCGAACCTAATCTATATATCTACAATTATAAAGTTCAGCATGTACAGATGTTTAGATGATTGAAAAAGAGGATAATGTTAATGGAATGTTGAGGACTGATAAAAATAAAATTTAATAATGACTCATTTGTAAGTTTGTATACTCGCAGAACAAATTCACAGCATGAAAAACTAGTACAGGTAGTCCTCAACGTACGACCACAATTGAGCCCAAAATTTCTATTGCTAAGTGAGACAGTTGTTAAGTGAATTGTGCCTCATTTTATTATCTTTTTGCTACAGTTGTTAAGTGAATCACTGCAGTTGTTAAGAGAATCATGTGATTGTTAAATGAATCTGAGTTTCCCCATTGACTTTGCTTATTGGAAGACAACTGGGAAGGTTACAGATGGTGCTCGCATAACCCTAGGGCCCTGAAGCTGTCAGTTGCCAAGGACCTTAATTTTGATCACATGACCATGGGATCCTACAATGGTCACAAGAGTGTGAAAACCGGTCACAAGTCACTTTTTTCAGTGCTGTTGGAACTTTGAACAGTCACTAAACGAATGGTTGTAAGTCGAGGACTACCTGTATAGGAATGTTCAGGAGTACTAGTTCTTCAGCTAAAAAGAAAGTCATTAGTCAGTTAGTGACGAGAACAAACAGCATTATCCTGTTCTCTTTTTCCATTGCAAATTCCCATGAATTTTCATTGATAGAACCAATAAAATTTCTCTGTGCTTTCTCCAGTATTAAAGATTGTAAATGGCAAGAGAAAAATATAGTTGTGATGGAAGAAGTTGTCATTGCCCCTCCATATCAAGTGGAAAACTGTAAAGGCAAAGAGGGGAGTGCCCTAAGTCATGTACGCAAAATAGTAAGTATACAAAGACCAGAGGGTATCAGGGAAAAGCGAAAATGGGGTTCAAAGAATAGCTGCACAAGCAAGCACCTTGATTGTGCAGAATCAAAAGTGAACTTAAATTGAATTCACATATCTTGCTTATCCATTAAATGGTTTGTTTTGATTTTGGAATATATGTGAGCCCAGCCACTATAATTCATAAATACTAGCTTCTAATTATATTTGGTAAACTCAGACATTTTTTTTCAGTAATGATGCTTCAGTAGACAGTGATGATACAATGTATGAATGTAGATTTCATATTGTCAGGCTCAGGCCCAGGGATGAAATAGTAAGACCCAACTGAGTCCAATATTTTATTTCCTTACACCGAATAGACAGATTCTTGCCAAACTAAAACTATAACTTTGTAAGCTACAAGATATATCCAGGGAGATTCTACGGTATGGTTATCCTAAAACTCTTTCCCCCTTCCCCTTTCAGTTTGGGATTGTGCAATCTTGAGCTGGATCGCCCTCTGAGTTGGCAAAATCCTCCCCCTCTGCTGTTGCAGGTGCACATTCCATCACATGTATGCCTCAAGCAATGCAGATAGTCCTTGAATGGTGACTAGTGGTTTAACAAATGTTCAGTGTTGGAAAGGGTGGTTTACAGCCTATAAAACACTTCTGGCTGTTATAAAATGTTTCTCATGCATATACCCCAAAGGTCATATGACCGCATTTGGGGCATTTGACAACTTGGCTTATATTTATGACTTGTTGCAGTGTCCCATGCTCACATGACCACAGTTTGTGACATTTTTACCACTTTCTGGCAAAAAAAAACACACCCATTCAGGAGAATGGATTCCAACTTAGGATTGCATCTCATTTAATAACCGCTGTAAAACAGTAAAATTAGATTTGATCATGTCAGTGACTTGGCTTATGACGACAACTTATGATCGAAATGCCAGTCTCAGTTGCGGTTGTAAGTCCAGGACTACCTGTAACTTTTTTAAAAAATTAAGTATCTGATCAAACAAGAGACAAACTAAAATTCAGATGATTAAAGTGGTAGCTGCATTTGTAATATAGAATGAAATTTCACAATCCTACAGTAGTAGGACTATAAAAAATGTCTGTGTGTCGTGTTTGAAGTTTATTTATATAAAGACATGTTCTGTATGTCAAGCAGTATAATCCCTTGATACATTTTCCTCGATATTCTTTAATATTTGCAGTGGAACACAAACACCTTGGTTTTGTTGTGTTTTTTTGCTTTAAAAAAAATTGATTTCTTTTATGGTTCATCAGTGACCCCCAATTTCAAACTGCTGTAAACCAGGGGTCCCAAACCCTGTTCTGTGGCACTTTGTCGGGTTGCAGTCCATTCAGAACTAGGCCATGGAAATGTTGGGAAACACATGAGCACGCACATGCACAGCTGCATTTATGAAAGTGGCGTGCACATGCATGTAAAACCATCCCCTCTCCCTCCACTGCCATCATTTCCATCGGTCCACTGACCAGAAAAGTTGGGGAACACAGCTGTAAACCATCTTGTTGCGATCAATGTTTCCAGCCTCATGAACCACTATTTTTCAGGAACATGCCAGCAGTTCCACTGTCTAAAATGAGTGCTAACTTCCTTGCCTCCTTCTCCATCCAGGTCGAGAAACATTTTAGAGATGTCGAAAGCCAAAAGCTGATGCAGCGTTCACAAGTCCAGCCAACACAGAAGGAAAGCGCCCTCTCATCCTGAGTCCCGCCTGCCCTTCCTGGTTGTGACAGAGTGCTCCTGCGGGGGGTGGGGGTGGGGGGAAACCCTTCGAACATGCAGCAGCAGATGACAAAGACTTCTTCAAAAGAGGTCAGGGGAGGGCAGGGGAGTTCCACTTCTATGTCGTGGCTACCCTGTAATGATGGGACCCACAGCTTCTGAACTTTAGACTTCAAAGACAAACAGAGAATAATTTAAAATTCATTCATTACTTGACTAACAGACTCTTTACTTTTTTGGCCACCAGGTTTTCCCCCTAGAACAGTCAGCTGTCTTGTATTTGACGTTTTTCTCCCTCCCGGTTTTTTTCTGCTTTACTGAAATCAATTCCATGCCACCCCTATTCTTGCTATATGCTAGGAGAATTCTGTTCCCTAGTTATCACATTAAAAAGCAAAAAGAATAGAGGAAACAGAAAATAACAAGCTGACTGTAGTGATGTAATTGGAACTTTTCTGTGACTGGCGATCTCATTTTGGTTTTCGTTTGCACAGGGCAAGGCTTGAATTAGCCTTATTTTTCTTATCTTGAAATATATATATAATAAATAAATATATATATATATATAAATACCCCTTAAATATTTTTCTGCTTCTCGCAGTATTCAAAATTGGGATCATGGCAGAAAAAAAATCTCTATGCTTGTTAACAATCAAGCTTTGTGCAGTTGGCTTTTTTAGGTATAATTCTGAAGACCAGATTTCTGCTGAAGCTTGGGCTTTAGTGGGTCATGCCCTATTCAGAATGCATACAGGCTTCTCTCATTTGATCTTTCCATAAATTTTATCTTGTGCATTATGTTATATTGCCACAAATCTGAGCTCTGTTAATGCCACTGGATTAGAACTGCTAACCAAGACTACAGAGTAGTGGAATCATTCTATCCTCAAAGGAATGGAAACTAGATCTCACAGCTTCCTCTTGCTTATGTGTTGTTCTACTGACCACAGTGAAGCACGCAAAGATTTTCTGTAGGTAAAGGTTGCCTGGGTATAATGTAGGAGGAACAATCTGTGTATTGTCCATAGTGACCCAATGGGGGCTGGACAGGAGCATGAAGATTTGGGCTTGAATGTGATTGTCCTTAGTCCTTCAATTGCCTTTTGTCCATGGAAATAAAGCATCTGAATTGGTAGGAGAATAAAACTGTCTCAGTGGGATTTTCCTCTGCAGCATAGTAAAATATCTTTCCAATGGTCTATTGTTGTGCCCATGGCATTTGCAGAGGAGCAAAAAGATTAGTAACACATGTGTTGTGGTGCAAATGATGCAACTTATGTACCTTTGTAAGACATCATGATGCAAGTATATCGCCTGTATGTCACATGACACATGTTTTGACATCATGACTTATTATGGATAGTGCTGGCTGTATCATTGTTAAAAGGACAGGTTACTTCAGCTTCTTTGTTTGTAGATGGTGATCAGGCACAGTAGCTGTAGTTCTGGGAATCCTAGTATGATTCTTTGACTGGAAATAATCTCTGTCCGTAAGTCTATGTACTTCTGTTGTTGACATGGTCAGCATTTGTATGATTTGCTTCTCCTGGACTTGCTGCTTGCAGGGTCATTCATAAGTATCCTTGGTTTGGAAATAAATATTTTGAAGATACATAGGATATAAAGATAACATAGAATGGGAGGCTGCTGTTGGGTTGGGTTGTTTTTTTTTTTTTTTGCTATGATCTCTTCTCCCCTTTTCCCTTTTTTGTTATTTTTAAACAAAAGGATAAAAATTTAAATAATTCAAGCCCTGCCTTTCAGAATGGAGGTTTTTTTTTTTAGCATTGTCTAGCAAAACCAATAAAAACCCAGAATTTTTTTAACCATCAATTAAGCATTTGTGTTGGTGGGTTTGTGTCTTTAAGCGTGCAGGTAGAGGATGTCTGGGGGGGAGAGTTCTACAGAGAATTGGAAAACAACATACCATACTGCTTGCTACAATTGGAGGACACATGAGGATATACAGTTGCACATTATGTGCAAACTTGCATGCCAACTTGTGCACTCTCATATGTTCTGTTGCGTATACCTATTTTACATATTCCATCAGTTCTATATTTCTATGAAAGATAAATTGCTGGATATTTTTGTAAAATGTGTGAATTAATATTTTTGTTGTTTGCAAGACAGTGCAACTTTAATGTGTGGAAAGCAGAAAAGAAAAGCTTTATGAAACAAACCAAGCCCTATGCATTTGTTCTCTAGAACAAGCACTAAAATAATATGATAGAGTTGTATAAATTTCTCTGCACATCATATAGGTGACTTTCCATTTTGACAAAATATCTCCAAGACATTCTACTGGAAGTTAGGAAATTAGAATGAAGCGGCTACATAGCTAGCTCAAAACATCTTCATGAATAGTTCCTTATTAAACTAATGTAAAGTGGCAGAATTCAACTTTTATTAGCCACTTCAGTTGAGAGATATAGAGAATGCTAACTGAAGTTGCATATGATACAAAGAACAAAATCCCACAAGACAAAATAAATGTTTTTGATAGGCTAGAGCAGAGGTGTCAAACTGCCAGTATAGTGATACTTAATTGCAAAGTGAACAGGAATTAATGCTGTAATAATGACTGCAAAGTAATGTTTTTATATTGTATCAGAAATAATTCAAAATCATAACAGGTAATTTTTTCATTTTACTCTGGCTGGACTCCACCTTGAGTACTGTGTCTAATTCTGGGTACTCTATTTTAAGGATCTAGAGAAATTGGAACATATTTACAGAAGGGCATTTATATCAGATTTAGAAAGTAAGTCCAAGGAGATAAGTTGAAGAAATGCTTGCTCCAAGAAAGATGGAAGCAATAAAATAGCCCTCTTTATAATTGAAAGGAGGCCACCCAGAAAAAAGGTCTAAGACTTGTTTTCTGTCATTCTAGAGGGCAGCACATTATATAAGCACATTCCAACCAAATGTTTTTAAAAATTATACCAGCTGTTTGAGAATGGAGTGAATGATCCAGAATAGTGGTGTGTTCCAGTGAGGGCTAGGCAGACATTTTTTCTGGGAAGTTTTAATTTGGATTCCTATGTAAAGTAGGGCCTGGATTCAATTGCCTCACTGGCTTCTTCCAACTCTGCTTCTGTATTGGGGCCTGTATTAAGTAGTGCATAATAGTTTATTTCCTTTCCAGTCTTTACACCATTTTTTGGCTGATAGACCATCAATACATTTTTAAAAAATATTAGTCTTCAAAGCCATGTAAGTAACTCAGTTGTGCTTGCTTGTCTAGGGCATAGTTGGCCTTAGCTCTCCAAATGCGAGCTTGGTTCAGTTTAATTTTTGTAAGAAAGATCGTCTATCTGGGGGAAAACAGTAGCATGAATTAGTTGTAAAAACAAGGGGTTGCCCTGCCTTCCTTTGGCTCTCCTATTGCTGTACTGATTTTGGCATCCTGTATTGCTGCTGGCATACTGATCTGGAAGAATGTGTCAACAGAAAAAATGCACACATACAGGGTTTAATCTCTAATGTAGCAGTGCTAATTGAAATGGTATGTACATTGTAATCAGGTGAGTAATAACAAAATTATTAACCATATACAAAATTGAAATAGACAAGATATGCCCAACAGTATATAAGACAACCATAAGCCAGAGACTTGATTAAATTTATGATTGTTCATGGAAGGTATTCAATGTGTTATTTGCACTCCAATCAGAAACAGCAAGAATATTAGATAGTCATAACAGATGTCCCAGCATTTGAGAGTAGACAACATGTATTTTCAAATTTTATAATACCCAGAAATCTAATCTCTTTTACAGATAACAATTGAGACTGATCCTCAAACTGTTAAAAGGAAGGCAGCAGAACACATCTCCATGAGCAGATCTAAATAGTTTATCAGCCATTAAGCTATAATTTTGTAGTTAAAAGCTATGATTTGAAGTACTTTCTTAAATGTTTGCAGTATAAAAATGAAAGTTAATTTTAAATTGTGTACAGATACAAGAAGTGGTTATTTATTAGTAAAAGTAGCATAAGGTGAAGAGAAGAGAGAATCATACTATGAAATATATATAAAAAGCAATTTTAATGTGCATTTTGATTATTTTCCCCCAAGGTAAACTACTTACAGTTTTTTCCCAAACTGCATGGTGACCTTTTCAGTAGGGCCTCAAATGCAAAATTTTTCTTTTTTTTTTTAAACAAATTTTATTGTTTTTTTTAATTCTTAAGACAAAGTGCTCGAGACACACCGTGGTGCTGAGGCAATCAAAAATCCAAAGACAAAACATATATAAATAACTCAATCAGTACATCAAATATTCCCTCTCTATTTCCCTCAAATAGCTTACTATATTTAAAATAGTCTATTTCTAACTTAAATTTTTATTAATCCTAAACCTGTTTTTGAGTTTTATGCAATTACAATATCATAATCAAATTTAACTTTAAATAACCACATTATCAGTTCAGGTACCCCTTCCAAATATATTCTAATTCCTTAATTTTATCATAAATCTTGTTTATTTCTTCTTCCACTAATATCTCCCAATTAAAATAAAATATTGATCTATCCTATACATATCTAATCCATCCATCCATCAATCAATTTCCTTAAACTGACAAAGTAATATCAACCTTAAATCATTTAAGTCCATTAGACAAGATTCTGATTTCATCCAATTAATTATCAAACCTAATAACATCCATATTATCAAACATCATCTTATTAAAACAACATTCAATTAATTATTAGTTCAATCCCAATCTAAAACACCTCTTCAGTTTTCTTCATTCCATTAACATAATAATTTTCATACAAATAAACTTATTATTCCAAAAAATACATTCTTACTCTATTTAATATATATATTCTAATAATCACCCATTTTTCTTACTTCTAACTCAAAAACTTAGTCCTTAAATCAATCCATAGTTCTAAAATGCCTTAAATCCAGTATATATAGTTTTAAGTTTCTCTTTTCGGTCTTATTCTAGGCTTCTTTTTATGCCAACCAGGTTTCCACAACAGAGCTTCCCTTTCAGTTGATAGGTCTCTGTTGCTTGTAATGCCATTTGAAACAATAAGAAGCCTCCTGTCCTTTGCATTGGATCTCTATTTCTATTATCCTTGAAGCATTGCTGCTTTAAAGGTTCAAATCTCAATCTTTGCTTTTTCTGATCCTCAAAAATATAGATAAGATGCTTATAAGCTAAAATAAGTTCCTCTTTATTCTCAATGAAGTCATCTTTTAGTGTATTTTGGTTTGTAGAATAGTCAAATGTAATCTGAGAGTCAATTTTAAGATTTGAAGGAGAGTTTCTGGCTCTTAGTTCTGTAGTAATCTCTTTCATTGTAGCAAATTCCTCTTTAATCTCCCTTAGTTCCTCTTCTGGTATGTTTTGGATTGTAGAATAATCAGATATGATCTGAAAGTCAGTTTGAGAGTTTGGGGTGGAGTTGACTCTTCGTTCTGTAGTAATCCTTTTCCTTATAGCACATATTTCTTCAGTAGCCTCATAGATCTTTTCCAGTATAAGCTTGCAATTTAAGTGAGAGTAAAATTTCTCTATTTTAAAAGTGATTAAAGAAAATCCTTTCTTTATTCTTTTTAGTAAAAACTGTAATTAAGCAGTGTCCACCCCCTCAGTTCCCACAGCTGCACCAACTTTTCCAAGAATAGTTTGAAGGTCAGGTCCTTCTCACCAAAGAATAATCCACAATTACAATATTAACTTTTCACCACTAGATGTCCTCAGTAAATAAAAAATCTTCCAGACACCATTTTTTCCTTTTTTTTCTATCTTTTAAAGGCAAAAGTGGAGAAGATAATCTTCCAATATAAAATAATAATACAATTCGAAAAAGCATTTTTTTCTGTACCCCGAAATGAATGAAAATAAAATATAGTCTTTAAAATTTTTTGTTCTCAGCGCCTTTCTTCCCACATACACAAAAGCTGCTTTTTCCAGACAGGGAAGTAATTCCAACCAAGCTTTTACAGGCAATGAAAAAAACCAATTAGGGCAAAGAGGGGCAAAGAAGGTCTCACCCAGATCCTCCATGGTGGGTCTAATTAATTGTAACTTCAGCTGGTGCAGCAGGGTAATCATCCATCTTGCAGGACAATCTTTGCTCTGTCGGCCCTGAGGAAATAGCTGGAGCCAGGGGAGAAGCTGCCGCTCTCCCGTAGTCACCAGCAAGCCTCGGTGGTTGCCCCTCCAGGGCAACTTTCAACCCACTAAGGAGTCTATCAATGAAGAAAACCCAGCCGGACTGGAGACGAGTCCCCAAGCGCGACCGGCATCGCCGTGTACTGGAACCAGAAGTCGAAATGCAAATTTTTTTTATAGTCTAATAAATTGCAGTCCCTGTTTTGTTTTTCCCTTTGGGAATTAAATATATCATTCCCCCCCCCCCTGAATTTTAACATTACAAAATGGCACACATAAACTGTCACCATTTCAAAATAAAAATAGGTGAATCTTAACATTTGGGATGGTGTAACATCTGACCTGAATACATCCTGCAAATCAGCTTGTTTTTACTTCCCCCTCTTCCCCCTATGTGTCAGTCCAAGCCTTTTTCTAATACTATCTCTTTCCAGCTCTTAAGAACATTTTTGTCCTTGCTTTATAATGGCTTCTGAATATTCCCTTTAAAGTCATCTTCATGGCTCTCTACATTAGCAAAGCAAAATGAAAGACTAATAATATGTAAAATAAAGCATGTAATAATAAAATCACATGTATTGAGGACATTTAAATGACCAAATTGAGTTGATGGGGACAGAAATCTGTCAGTTTGCCTTGGATCGTGACTTCTCACAAGATAAGACTGCTGGACAAAGCTGAAATACAAACATTACAGGAGGAAGACATTGCAGCAGACTGAAAAAAGGTATGGGGAGTAAGTAGAGCAGACTGGACTAAGAGCCAATTTGATGAAGTGGTTACGATGCTAGCTTAAAAAGAGGAATTAAGTTCTAAACCTCTAACAAACATGATAGCCTGATGGATGAGTGTGTTGCTTTCTTTCAGTGCTAACAGGGTGGTAGTTGTGGCGAAAATAGGTGTAGGAATGTTAGATATGTTTGTTGCCTTGAATCATATATAAAAACTGAATGGTAAAAATAATTGACAAAGTGGTTTGTAATAAAAGCCATCATTGCAAACCTGTGTGTAAAGTTCCCACAGTGACAAAGACAAGGCACTGAAAAAAGCAGAGATATAGTGGACAGATTGAGTGCAGGGCTAGTCTAGAGCTAATCAATCAGAACAAGGATTATATTTCAATTTTAACCATACAATACATCTTTTGATATGGATTGAGGGACAGTTCAAAAGCTGTTGGGGTTTTCTTAGTGGCTGAAGTTTCCCACTGCAGAAATACAGAGAATATAAGCAAGCACTGCAATTTACCAATGAGTGTGTAAAATAAAATGAGAGTTGGTTAACAGAAAAATATGCATGAAGCAAAGGCGCTGGATTTAAACCCGGGGAGCATTCAAGTTGTGAATTGGCCTTTATTTTAGACAGGCAGCAGTTTGTAATGCTACTGCTTTTGAGTTATAATAAAGATTTAGTTCTAAATTTGTTATATCAAGTTAATGGAAAACAAGTCATGCCTGTCATGAGCCAGCCTATTCAGAATTTTGTTATGTAGGAGGCCCAAAATTTGTGACCTGGGTTTCTGATATGTTGAAGTGGGGATCATATTCCCAATGTCCTTTCTGATTGTGATAATGGTAGAATTACTGTAACCTGACTTTCCTGGAAGGTTCTAGACCAGATTCCAGCATTAGGAGAATTCAGCTTTTGTTATTCCTGCAATATGACCTGTAGGTTACAGCCGAATATCACAGAAATTCGAATATGCACACTTCTCTTTTTTAAGCAATGGCTTTTTGGCAGAATATTCTGTATACAGTTCTGTAGCATGTTCAGCCAAATAAATGTTTGGATCTCTTATTGGGGCCTAAAGATACGGAACAGAATATCAAGTTATCTTGAGCAATACATCAATTTCCTAATTTTATTTAAGTTTGGTTTAAGTGTAGCTGCAAGCATCTTAAACTATTATGAAGCATTTAAGCTCAGTAAAACTAATATTTCCAAAACAGGCTCGGTTAAGAGGATAATGTTTTTGGGAATGTAATGGATCCTGGAAAAAGGAAATTTTCTGCATTTCTGTCTGAGTCCTATGACAGCCTCCCACCAAAGCCCCTGCTGAATAGTAAAGTTTTAAGTCTACCCAAATATAAACAGGGGAGGGGC